GGGCCTTGGGGCCGAGGCTAGGGGCGACGGGGCCGAGGGGCCGAGGCTAGGGGCGACGGGTCGCGAGGTGCCGCGGCTAGGGGCGACGGGGCGACGGGTCGCGAGGGGCCGAGGCCATGGGCGACGGGGCGCCGGGGCCGCGGCTAGGGGCGACGGGTCGCGAGGGGCCGAGGCTAGGGGCGACGGGGCCGCGGTTAGGGGCGACGGGTCGCGAGGGGCCGAGGCTAGGGGCGACGGGGCGACGGGTCGCGGTTAGGGGCGACGGGGCCGAGGGCCGAGGCTAGGTGCGACGAGGCCGAGGGGCCGAGGCTAGGGGCGGCAGGGGGACGCGGCCGCGAGCCCTGGGCCTAGGTTAGGGGGGGGGGTGGGCCTACGGGCCGCGAGGGGCCGCGGGGCCAAGACTAGGGGCGACGGGGCCGCGGCTAGGGGCGACGGGGCCGAGGGGCCGAGGCTAGGGGCGACGTGTCGCGAGGGGCCACGGGGCCGAGGCTAGGGGCGACGGGGCCGCGGCCAGGGGCGACGGGGCGACGGGTCGCGAGGGGCCGTGGCTAGGGGCGACGGGGCCGAGGGGCCGAGGCTAGGGGTGACGGGGCGACGTGGCCGCGGCTAGGGGCGACGGGCGACGAGGGGCCGGGCTAGGGGCGATGACGGGTCGGGGCCTAGGGGGCCTACGGGTTGCGAGGGTGGCTAGCAGGGCAGCAGTTGGTGGACCCAAAAAAAACGGTCCTAGAAGGGACCTGCTCTGAAACCATGTCAGAATTACGAACGAGAATGATTGAACTATGAAACAATTGGGTACAAGTACTAACCCTAATTGGGTTGTACCCCTTATGGGCTACCTACCCCACTGTAGCCTACACAAATGTAAGCACTATAATGTTCTGACACGAGAACCTCGTGACGTGCGAGGGTTGGATGCGTCGCGATTGGTGCGGGACGACTCGGCAGTGGTTCGGGCCGAAATGTAGGCCGAACTGGAATCTGACGCGAAGAGCTCGGGGCTGTCCTCGCTAGGAACAGCTTCGGCATTGATGAATTGTATATTCATTACAGCATGTAAAGAAACAACTTTTCCTTACTTCGCGGCACAACGAGAATGAATGAACTATGAAACAATTGGGTACAAGTACTAACCCTAATTGGGTTGTACCCCTTATGGGCTACCCCACTATAGCCTACACAAATGTAAGCACTATAATGTTCTGAGACGAGAACCTCATGACGTGCGAGGGTTGGATGTGTCGCGATTGGTGTGGGACGACTCGGCAGTGGTTCGGGCCGAAATGTAGGCCGAACCGGAATCTGACGCGAAGAGCTCGGGGCTGTCCTCGCTAGGAACAGCTTCGGCGGTGATGAATTGTATATTCATTACAGCATGTAAGGAAACAACTTTTCCTTACTTCGCGGCATACTACATACACGACTCTACCCGCCACTCAACCTGTAAGGGTTTAGAAATCCTTACTCTAGCAGTCCTTAGCGAGGACATCCGGAGGGCCACGCATTAGGGCGTGTCGCAAGATAGAGATTTGAAGGATCGTGGTTGTACACCGATCCCTTGTAGTAGATCCTCGGCTCACTGCATTATCGATCCGCCAAATCAAACTATACCACGACCGCCCAAGCGATAGTGTGGTTTCGCTTTGCTCACATAGAAACATTGAACACCATATTCGCTAATGTTTCGTCGAATCCTGCGGGCCGTATAACACATGCGATTTTCTTTATGTGCATCGTGAAACGATTTCGAGGCTGTAGGTTTTCTGCATTGCCAATCTCGCGATCGATCTTCACGGCGGGGGTTGGGGGGAGGGGTTTGGTAAAGCTGACCTGAAATGGACACAAGGGCGGAAAGCTCCCCTTCAACCGAAGTTCGGGCACGGACTAGCCAAAACCAGGCCGGAGGAACTAGCCGAACCAGCCAATCAATACTGTTGTGCTGCCTTTCGATGCAAAATCGGGGCCAATCTGCAATGAATGCATGCTCCCTGTTCCAATACAAAAACTATCAGAGATTTTTGTCGATTTTTGCACTGGTGTGTCAGTGCTAATCTATATACATATCGGAGCCTAATGTTTTCTTTTAGCCAGCGAGCTCTTTGGCACCATTAAGGAAGCAAAACCGCAAGAGTATCTGCTCGACCATATGCGACTGCGTCAGCATAATGGTGCGAGCTGCCCTGTCCCTGGTGATTTGCATGCCAATGTAGCTCTGCAACTCACCAAATTCAGTGCAAGTGTGTCTCCTCTGCAGTTCCTCCTTCACGGAGGTCAGTGCGCTGCGGTCGGGAGTGGCGAAGACCAGGTCGTCCACGTAGACCAAAACAAAGAACAGGGTCAAGGTACGGTGGACGAAAAGTGACGGGTCGCCAGACAGCGGAAAGAAACCGAGTGCGGCAAGAGTCGTGCGAAGTGTGTCGTATCACTCGCACGGAGCCTGACGCAGGCCGTAGACCGTTCAGCGCAGCTGCCACTGGGTCCCAGGAGGGAAAGTGCCAGTGAAGCCAGGTGGACCACGCAGCCAGATCTGCTTGTGCAAGCTCCCCTGAAGGAACGCAATGAAGAATTCAAAGGAGTGCAACTCGTAGTCGCGCTGAGCGGCTATGTGCAGCAACACCCAAAGAGTGGTCATCTTCGTAGTGGGAGCGATGGTCTAGAAGAAGTCTATCCCCTCTCGCGCCATGTAGCACGCTTTGAACACATGTGGTGCTCCAGGCGGCCGCTTTACCTTGTATAGCCACATTCCACTGACGATGTTCGCCCCAGGTGGTGGGTCTTCGTCGACATAGGTGCCTGTTGACCTATAAGATGACATTATCTTCTACTTAGATGCTATTCTGTACGAGACCCAAGGTTCCTGGACCACCTCAGTGTCAATGCAAGGGATCGGGATGTCAAGGGTGTCTGGATCCCCCTCAAGGCCAAGTAACAGGGCGCAGAGGTGAGGAATAGTGGCCACAAGGAAACCAAGTTCGAGCTGCTTGTCCTCCAAGACCTCCAGGGGAAAGACAGGAGCTCCCCTAGAGGATGGATAATGAGCACGGCCACTCACCAGTGGTAAGAGGCAAAGCTAGCAACAGTGGTAACAAGAGCCGAGACAAACAATGGAGGGGCATTCGGGTGAGTGACCAACGAGGACAAAACACGAGAGACGACAGGACGGGAGGCAGGAGGTAGTTGGGGAACAGGCCGGGATACAGAGTAAGGGACGACTCAGGAGGTTGTGGAAGGTTCGGCGAAGGTCCGGCTGTGGATACAACTGAACCTGCTTCTTTGGGTGTGTCTCCTCCTCTACTCTCGCAAACTGCTCCTGCTCCTCCCTCCCCAACTGTTGACGACTCTTCTCATGTGTTAGGTGACATACCAGAGGCTCCGTAGGTGCCTGAGAGGCAGTACCTCCAGCTCCAGCACCCCCTGAACTAGAACCTCCCCCTGACTTGACCTGACTTGACCTGACCTAGTGTGGTGGGACCCTGTGTGTAGTGAGTAACCATAGCGTGGATCCCTGTGGAAAGTGTCCAACGGAGCCCACAAAGACTCTAGGTGTCACCTCTCGCTAGTAGTCATGGCTCAAGGACGATAGGCACGTCGGCCTTCGGTCGCAAGGGAAAAAACGTGGTGTAGCAGGAGTAGTCGTCCACCACAGTCAGGAAGAAGCCCTCCGGACGTGGGCCACGGATCGGGGAGGGGGGCCAGACGTCCAAGTCCAAGGTCTATAAGGGATTCGTGGTGGGGGGAAACAAAGAGGAGTGAGGGGCAGCACGTTGCCTACCCTCAGCACAAGGAGTGCGCGGCGGTGCAGGCGAGCGGGGAAGCAGGGTGAGAGACGTGGGGAGACATGAGACCAGACGGTGACGTACCATCCTACTGAGACCCGGGAAGTACAGATGACCTAGACGGAGGTGCGAAAGGACTAACAAGTGGGTGAGTGACTGACAGACGCACGACACAGCAGCTACCTGACTTGACCTGACCTGACCTGACCTGACCTAGTGTGGTGGGACCAAGTGTGTAGTGAGTACATACCATAGCGTGGATCCCTGTGGAAAGTGGCCAGAGGCGCCCCAATGGCACCGATTGTGCAGGTGGCAACAGGCTTGTCCGTAGGGAAAGTGGTGACTACACCGAGGTCGAGGAGGTGAATGATACCCACCAGGTTCCTGGAGAACGAGGGGGTGTAGTAACATGTGAGGACCCAAGAGGGAGCCGCAGGACATGGGAGAGTGGTGGTGCTATGGGCAACGATAGAACCTACTGAGGGGTCAGCCAAGGCGACAGTGTTCGGGGTGCGCAGTGGCGTAAGGTCGGTGCAGTCACGGAAGAAACAGCTGGACGCCCCAGAGTCTAGGGTGAAGGAAAGAGGCGCAGTCGCTGAGGTCATACTCGTGCCAACGACAAAGGCTGGTGCTAGGCTAGCGGTAGCTACTGCTCCCACACAAGAACCCTCAGAGGCACCTAGGCTAGAAACTACACACACACCAAGACTGGAAACACAAGTCCCTACTCGTGTAGCTGGCAGATATCCTACACTAGGCAGGTGCGACTCATCACGTCTAACAATATTGTGGCGAAAACGAGAAGGCCAACGAGGTGGAATCGCGTCAGGTCCAAAATGATCATGGTGAAGGTCGTCGAGGTGACGGTAGCAGCGGGACGCGGAGTGGTCAGGACCCCAGTAGGTAGTGCCAGCACCAAGGCCAGTTAGGATCCAGTACCCGCAAGGACAGATGTCGCGCCCACTGCTAGCTGAGCCGCTGCTGGGGCCGACACTCCTTGGGCCTTCAAGTCCCCATTGCCGAGAGTGTTGTAGCTGCTGTCGCTGCGGTTGACCCTGCTGCCGCAGTACTCTAGCAGACGCCATGGCGGGAGCTAGAGACTGTCGAGCGTGTTGGGGAGCTGCTAGGAGTGGTCGGGTACGGTCTGGTGCGGTGGGAAATGGCTAGACGCGGTCGGATGCGGTTGGGAGCAGCCAGGGTGCGGTCTAGTGTGGTTCAGTGCGGTCAAGCACGGTCTAGTACGGTTGAGTGCAGTAGAGTGCGGTTCCAAGGTTGGGGTTGCGGGTGGGGGCGAGTACAGGTAGCTTCCAATATGCTTGAGGCTGTTAGCAACTGGGGTAGCGGGCAGCTGGTGCGGGTGGGGCAGCGGGTAGCGGGAACGAGCAGGGCAGAGGGTAGCAGGTGGGGCGGCGGGTAGCGGAAACGGGCAGGGTGGCGGGTAGCAGGTAGGGCGGCGGGTAGCGGGTACGGGTGGGGCGGCAGGTAGCATGTGGGGTGGCGGGTAGCAGGTAGGGCTGTAGGTAGCAGGTGGGGCGACGGGTAGCAGGTGCGGTGGCGGGTAGCGGGTGCGGGTGGCAGGTGGGGTGGCGGGTAGCAGGTGGGGGTGGCGGGTGAGTCGGCGGGTAGCAGGTGGGGTGGCATGTAGCGAGTGCAGGTGGCGGGTAGCAGGTGGGGTGTATGTAGCGGGTAGCGGGTGCGGATATTGGGAGGGGTGCGGGTACGGGTAGCAGGTGGGGTGCGGGTAGCGGGTAGTCGGCCGTGCGTGCGTGCTGTTGCGTGCGTGTGTGCGTGCAGGTTGCGCATGTGGTTGTGCAGGCTGCGCATGCGGCTATGCAGGCTGCGTGTGCGGCTGCTTGTGTGCGTGTGGCTGTGCGTGCGGCTGCTTGTGTGCGTGTGGCTGCGCGTGCGGCTATGTGTACGCGCGGGTAGCGGGTACAGGACGACGGGGAGCTGGGGTGCTATGGGTGACGGGGCTGCGGGGCAACAGGCTATGGGGCGACGGGACGTACGGGGCTTATGGGGGCTGCGGGGTGGCAGGGCACGCTGGGCAGCGGGGTGATGGGGCGCATTTGGGGATGGGGCACAGGGCGCACTAGGCGCTACGGGCAACGGGCGGTGATCTAGCGGTGAACGAGCGGCGAACGGGCGGCGAACGGGCGGCGATGGGCGAAACCCAAAAAAACGAGTGCGTAACGGGCGGGGCGCGGGCCGGTGGTCCCATAGGAACAAACTAAGCTTTATACCGTGTCAAACTAGGAACGGGAGAATGAACGACTATAATGAGCAAGTACAAGGGTAGATATAGCAAACCTAGCCTTTGCACTAACAATGATTTACGCCATCTGCAGTTTGACGGGCATACCAGCGTTGCAGCCGCATGTGATTCTAAGCGCATGTGCGCACACCTACTCACGTTGGTCGCGCACGTTGTGCACCGCCACGCACATTGCACAGGTGCCAAGTCAGCCACGTGCAGACGGTTGCGCCAGATGTGTCACGTTGACCTTCGGATACCAGCCCGCATGTCGAGTTCGCCAAAACCTCCTGGGCGACGTCCGCGATCTTCTGCACAAAATTTCGTCGACTAGGTAAAGTCCTTGGCACTTACAAGTCGGCGCCCCCCACGTCGACGAACCCCTTCGTTGACCGCCGAAGTCGAAGTCGGCCGACGACTTCACCTCGTCGGTGGCTTCACGGTGGTGTTGCGCAAGTCGACCAAGTATGTCGACTTCCTTCTCGAAGTCGGTGTCAACCATTAGCAGCAACCGAATGCACCTCCCGTATACCCGACTGCGAAGTAGGCTTTGACTACGCAAGAGCGAGGCCATTTACCATAAAGATGGCAGGGGAGAGGCGGTCAGGGGGGCGAGTGACTAACCAGTGAAGGGTGAGCCACGTTGGGGGGGGTGTGAGGACAAGCTGGGCGTCGGAGCAGGCTGCGCGTTAGTTAGTGTTGAGGGAACGCATGTGAGTGACAAGGTTGGAGAAAGTCTCAAACGACCCAAGGTTAGGCAACACAAACAGCATGAGGAGGCTGCTAAATGGGGCAAAGGATAGGGTGGAATAGCTGTGAAGAAACAGGAATGGATGGACTAGGAAATGAGTTGGGTACAAATATGAAACCCTAGGAAACTGTACCCCATGGTGTCTACCCCACTACAACCTAGACTGGCTATATGATTAATGTTTGACACACCCCCATAGGCAAAGTGGGGGAGAACAAGGGGTCACAAGACCAGTCAAGCAAAGCAAAGCAAAGCAAGCTCAGGGTGGATCACAACGTCACCACACATTCCGAGCACAGGTTTCAACGGCCACAAGGCCAGTTCATACGGCAGGATTATATATAAGAGGTAAACAAGCAAGTGCAGGCATATACATATATATATATATCACATTACAAGTAAAGTCAAGAGGTAAGCAAGTGAGGCCAAGTAGGCACAAGACCTAGCATAGTACAGAAGCGCTGATGATCACAAGGCTGAAGTGCCTTGGTGAAGATATCAGCAGTGTTGGCCTGAGAGGCCACGTAAGCAAGGCGCAGCTGACCACGCTGCTGCAGCTCACGAGCAAGGAAGTAGTGAAGAGCAATGTGCTTCGTTCTGTGCTCCAGTCTGTGCTCCCGACACAAGGCCAGCATGGCCTTGTTGTCTACGTACAGAACTGGAGGAGAACGAGGCGGCTCTCCCAGGTCAGTCAGCAGGTAGGTGAGCCAGCATAACTCCTGTGCAGCCATGGCCCCTACGTAGATCTCAGCCTCACAGCTGGAGCTGAGAACAGAAGACGAGCGGGTAGACCGCCACGAAACAAAACCGGAACCAAGGCTGAAGGTGTAACCCTGTGACGACCGCTGAGTAGCCAGGTCGTCAACCCAAGACGCGTCTGCGTGACCAGTGAGTACCACTGGACTCCGCCCTCCAAGCATGAGCCCCATGCCCGATGTACTGCACAAGTAGCGCAACACCCTCTTCGCGGCAGCCATGTGCTCTGGTCGGTGTCTCCCAGGAGCAACATAGCGTGCCAAGATGCTAAGAGGGTATGCCAGGTCAGGTCGAGTGCAGGTCATCAGGTACATGAGGCAGCCAACAAGCTCTGGGTACGGGCCACTCGGCTCTACGGACTCATCCGAAGGCAGAGCTGAGAGCGAGTGGCGAGTAGACAGAGGAGTGGCCTGAGGCGAGGAGTACGTGAAGTCGAAGCGCTGAAGGACCTGGTGCACCATGTGTGACTGAGTCAGGGTAATGGTGCGCCGTGCTCTGTCCCGGGTGATCTGCAGGCCAAGATAGCTGCGCAGTTCACCCAGGTCTGTGCACGTGTGTCTCTTCTGCAGCTCGGACTTCACGTGGGCGAGTCCAGCAGTGTCAGCCGTAGCAAACACCAAGTCGTCGACGTACACGAGGATGTAGAACGGCGGCAGCAAAGTGTCGGTGCGAAGAAACAGCGACGGGTCAGCAGTAGAAGGAGCAAACCCAAGAGCCGCAAGCGTAGTCCTCAGTGTGTCGTGCCACTCAGTGTGTCGGGGCGCCTGGCGGAGACCGTAGACTGGCCGCCGGAGGCTCCATTGGGTACCAGGAGGAAACGACCCAGTGAAGCCAGGTGGGCGGCGCAGCCAGATCTCCTCGTGCAGGCTGCCCTGTAGGAAAGCAGTGCTGAATTCAAGAGAGTGAAGCTCGTAGTCACGCTGAGCAGTGACATGCAGCAGAACCCGAAGAGTGGTCATGTTCGGGGTCGGGGAGAAGGTATGAAAGTAGTCAACTCCCTGCCGCTGACTGAAGCCTCGAGCTACGTAACGCGCCTTGAAGACAAGGGGAGAACCCGGCGGCCGCTTCACCCTGAAAATCCACATGCCACTGACGATGTTCGCCCCAGGTGGGGGAACGTCGTCGACGTAGGTGCCTGTGGACTTCCAGGAAGCCATCTCTGCGTCCATGGTTGACTGCCACTGAGAGGAGTAGGGACCCTCTATCGCCTCTACGTAAGAGCGCGGGGTCGGGATGTCTGGTGCATCCGGGTCTCCCTCAGGGGCAAGCAGCATGGACACGAGATGAGGTAAAGCAGCAGCAAAACACTGGAACTCCTCCTGTCTGTCCTCAAGGACGTCCGTGCTAAGAGCACACTCACCCCCGACGGACGGAGGACAGACAGACTCAGACTCAGCAACAAGACTAGCGGCGTAGTCTAGACAACAGTGAGCAGCGAAGTCGACAAGCTCTGCAACTAAGGCAGACGCAGCAGTGGACTCAAAGGAAGGGTCAGTGACAACAGTGGCGAGGAGACGCGTGACAGTAGGACTGGCAGCACGAAGAGAGTCAGACTCCGGGTCAGCAAGAGCAGGAAGAGAGGACTCTGGAGGAGACGGCAAAGGGACACGCTGCTGCGCAGTGGAAGGACGCAGTGCCATCTGATGCGTGCCCGGGACCGCAGGAGGACGCTGACGTGGAACACGACGACTAGTGCGAGCAGCATGAACAGGTGACGCAGGACGCGACTCAGGCTCACGACGCTCAGCAAGACCTCCAGTAGGACCAGCGTAGGGAGAAGGAGCAGGCAGAGGGGAGGCCAGCTGTAACTGTGACTCGGACTGGACAGACGGTGGACACTCTAAGGAGGGAGTAGGACCAGAAGAAGGTGGAAGACCAAGAACCTGCTCAAGGAGCGGAACGAAGTACGTCCGCGGCCGCGCAGCGCCTCCAGCAGGGACAGCACCAGCAGGGACAGCACCAGCACCCCCAGCGTTAGCGCCAACTCCAGCAGCACCACCAGCACCAGCAACACCTCCTGCAGCTCCAGTAGCGCCAACTCCAGCACCCACAGGAGCACCGGCTCCAGCAGCACCTCCAGCTCCAGTACCTCTAGCAGCCCCAGCTTCAGCAGCACCACCAGCACCAGCAGCACCTCCAGCAGCTCGAGTAGCGCCAACTCCAGCACCCACAGGAGCACCGGCTCCAGCAGCACCTCCAGCTCCAGTACCTCCAGCAGTTCCAGGCTCCGCACACTCAGGCTCAGCACCCCCAGACCCGGCACCCGCAGGCTCAGCACCCCTAGAAGCACCAGAGTCAACAGCTACCTCGACAGGCTCGACTGCGTCTACCTGGGACACACCTTAGGGGGCAGGACCCTGAGGGGGGAGGGGGTCTACCGGGGGGGGAACGGGCGTGAGGAAGAGCGGCGGGGGGGGGAGGGGGGCAGCGCAGTAGGGGAAAAGACGGTAGTATGGAACCGACTCGTCAAACGTGACGTCCTGGGAGGACAGAACACGGCGCGAGGTGGGGTGGTAAAACTGCCAACCAGGCGCGTCAGGGGGGAAGCCGAGGAAGACGCAAGGAACGGCACGGGAGGACAGCTTGTCCGCAGACAAGTCACGGACGAAAGCTCGAGATCCCCAGACACGGAATGCAGACGCATCGCCAACCTTCCCCGTCCACCGCAGAGTGGGGGAGGTCTCCGGCATGGAGACCCGGGGCTGAAGGTTGATCTGATGCGCCGCGTACTGAACCGCGAACGGCCACAGAAAATGGGGAGCAGCCGCATGGATCATGGACGTACGAGCGACGTCCATGACCATGCCAATGCGGCGCTCAGCAATCCCATTTTGCTGTGGAGAGGCCGGAAGCGTGAACGTCTGGCGGATGCCCTCCACACGACAGAAAGCTCGCAGAAGGTCGGAGGAAAACTCTCCACCTCTGTCGGAGTGCAGACGCAGAACAGGAAAGTCCGAGCCGAAACGCTCTCTGAGCTGGAGACGAGCAACGCGGATCCAGTCGATCAACACCTCAGTGACCTCATCCTTGCGGCGCAAGGGGAAGACTGAGGTGTAACGCGAGAAGTCGTCAACCACCAGCAGGAAGTAACGCTCGTGACCCTGTCCACGGACGCGGGCTGGGCCCCACACGTCCATGTGGAGGGTCTGCAGCGGAGCCTCTGTCGGAGGAAACTCGGAGGAGTGAGGAGCGGCGCACTGCCGCCCCTCAACGCAGGGAACGCAGGTAGTGGCAGGCCCCGGGGGAAGGGGAGGGAGGGACCGGGGGAGACCAAAGACAAGGACACGGGAGGCCATGCCTCGGAGACG